ACGGGAGGGAGGAGGATGGCTGAGCGACGCGGGGGCGCCGGCAAAACCCCGCGGCTGAGAGGCTCAGGGGCCGTCGCGGCGACATGAGGGGCGCCGGGCGGGGCGGCTGCTTGCCGGCTCGCGGCTCGCAGGCGGCGGCGCAGGCCCTGCGGCCGGAGCGGCCGCCCGGCTTACGGCCAGCCGCTCTGCCGGTGCGCGCATGTGGCCCCTCCAGTATCACACCTCGGCCTCGGCTGCAAACTGGGGCACGTACTTCTTGAGGCGGTCCTTTTTGAGGGCCTCGGTGAAAAACCTGAACTGCTCAGTGCGTACCTGCGGGCGAGGGGGGGGGGATGGCCGGGCAGGGGCCCAAGCGGCGGCTGGGCAGGGGCCGCGAGGGGGACAACAGGTGCGATGAGAGCGCCGCCGGCCGCCGGGGCCGCCCCGTTTGCAAAGCGGTGGCGCGGCCGCGTTGGGCTGCCGCACAACCACCGCTCGCATGACCGGGGCCGGCGTGCTGGCGACCGTTGGCGCGGCAATCGCTGTGTCGTGCACAGGAGACGAAGCGCTTCTGAGGGGCCGTTCCTGATGACACAGCGACCTCGCCCCGCCCCTTCCCCCCCTCTGCCACTGTCTCCGCTAGCTGCCACCCTGGCAGCTGCTGCCCCGGCGCCATCACAACCACCAGCACCCGCTCGCCTTCTGGTCCACATCGTACACGACACCCCTGCCAAACGTCGGCACGTTGAAGTTGTACACCTGGCAAGGGCGAGTTCAGTGGCAGCAGGTTCGAGGCTTGAAAATTGCATGGTGTTGGGGCCCCGAGCTGTCAAGAGACGGATGGACGCAGCCAGCAATGGCAGCGGCCGCGCAGCAGGCAGATCAGCCAAGACGCGGCGCCGCCTTGCCCAGGAGCTGCATGGGCCGCAGGGGCGGCAGCTGCAGGCCTCCGCCGCAAGTGGGGGCGCGCGCCCACGCGAGCGAAGGGCAGCAACGCGTGGGCCGGGCGGCAGGCTGGCTGCCGCCAACGTTCCGCGCCAGCGGTCCGGCCGTGAGCGCCCCTGGCGGCATTCTGGCCCGCCCTTTGCGGCGCCGCGGGCACCACACACCTCGGTCTGGCTGAGCTCGTCGTCGGTCGCCTTGAAGAAGTGGGGCGCCACATCGGGGCCGATAAGGAATGTGACGCGCTTGTGGGCGACCGGGACGGTGAACGCATCGCCAAGCGTCCGGTATCCTTCCTCCATCAGCTTCCATGGGCCCTGCCGATCAGAAGCATGCTTTGTCGTTGGTATAATTTTACGCGCTGCTGTGCTGACCCGTAGACCGCAGCAGCGGCCAGAGCAAGAGGGCGCTGCGCGAGGGCGCGTGCGACAACGCGGCCGCACCCCGGCAAACTTGAGGAGGCCGCCAATGTAGGGCACGCCCTCCAGGATCGGCGGCTGCTTGCTCGGCAGGTTTCTATAGGCGATACGTCCCACAAACGCGAACACCACCGCGAGCAGCGAGCTCAACACTGCCAGCTGCAGGGGCGGGAGGGCGCTGACTGCGGCCTGAAGGCCATCCACAGTCAGCTGGACTGCCATCGAAATAACTCGATTGCGTATCCCCCACAGATAGGCCTCGACACGCAGTGATCACAGCGCCTGATCCTTGTGAAGCGTTGTGCCGTCGAGCGTCAGCACCGGCTGATCTACAGAGTGTAAAATCCACCCTTGTAGCAATTGATCGGCACCGGACAGAACCACCGCGAATCTCACTTTGGGTGTGTGCGGGTAGTGACATGCCGCTGAGCGAGTTGCGAACGCATGCGATCGATGCATCATTTGTTTCTAACCTGTCCCAATTTCAGATTTTAGCGAAAGGCAGATTTAGAGGTCGCAAGTCGAGCATCGTGGATCCAACCAGAAGTTGTCCTCGGCTGTCCCGGCAACAGGGGCTCTTGGCTACATCAGTACTCACTGGGCCTGGGATCACCAGGACTGCGGCCCTTGCTTGGCAGCACCGCAGCTCGAAGAGCACCACAGGACAGCATCGCGCAGCGCACGTTCTGCGCTGCTGCACCGCTGCTGAGCCGCGCCAGCTGGGCCCCTTGCCCCTGCCCCAACTCGCCGATCAGAAGAGCTCAACATGGATCCTCAGACGATGCAGGCGACGATGGACGCCATGGTGCGCACAGCGCGGTTCAGCCGAGTTGGGAGTCGCCACTCCGCAATTGGCGTTCAGCCGCATCACCAGTGGATGCCGCCGATGCCCTCCGCGGTGTTGCATGCGGCGGCTGTATGGCGAGCTGGCAGCCTGCAGTCTGTTTCATGGTATAACAGGACATTGTGATACCATGTCGACCATGGTCAATCCTGCAGCAGCATGACGTTGACCTGTTGCTCCCAGCCTGACTGGAGTGTCCTGCCCCACCATCCCCGCCCTGCACCGGCTCTGTTGCGCAGCGCCGCATGAACCCCGAGCAGAGGCAGAGCATGATGGGTGAGCCCCCGCCTGGGCCCTGTGCTGCTGTTCTCAGACCCGCTGTCTTCCCCTCCCCCGGCCCGCTGTCTGTGCGCCCCCTCGCAGCCGCACGACTGCTTTCCCGCCGCTTCGGCAACCGCCCTTCGACACTGACAAACCCTATGTGTCGACCCCTGATGCCTGCGCGCCCACCCCTTGCAGCCACCATGCGCAACATGGACCCTGCCATGATGCAGGCGGCCATGAGTCAGATGAACAACATGAGCTCCTCGGACTGGGAGGCGGCCAGGCGGCAGATGGCGGGGATGGACGCCGCCACCATGGCGCGGCAGGCGGAGGCGGCGAGCGCGCAGTTTGCGGCGCAGAAGCAGTACGTCATCAACGTGAGCAATGAGCAGGCTGTGCTGCGCTGCAATGCGATGCGATGCAATGCTGCGCAATGCGACGCAAGGCAATTCAATGCAGTGCAGTGCAATGCAACGCAACGCAACGCAATGCGATCTGACTCAGGCGGGTTTCCCGCTGGGTTTGCAGGAGCAACCTGCCTGGGCGCGAGGTGCAGCAAAGGGTCAGCCCACCACCACCACCAGCAGCAGCAGCAGCAGCAGAGGCAGCAGCAGCAGCATTAGCAGCAGCATCGCGGGGTGGCGGGCGCTGCGCCAAAGGCGTACGCCCTGACACCGCAAGTGCGCGCTGCCGGCGTCCCTCGAGCGCCCGTACAATTCTTCGCACCGAGCCGCATCCCTACTCCCCACCAGCTTCGCACCTCGACCCCCGCACGAACCGCCCGCGCCCGTCCGTCCGGCTCCCGCCGCCCCCCCCCCCCCCTGCAGGGCAGCAAGGCGCTGAAGGACGAGGGGAACCGGCTCATCGCGGCCGGCAACCATGCGGAGGCAGCCGCCAAGTACGAGCGCGCCAAGTCAAACCTGAAGGACCTGGCGGGGTCAAATCCTGAGGCCCGGGACCTGCGCCGGGCGTGCGTGCTGAACCTGAGCGTCTGTCTGCTGCGGCTGGGCCGCTATGAGGCGTGCGCGGAGGAGTGCGGCGCGGTCCTGCAGGGTGAGGCGGACGGGCGCCGCACGCGGGGAGGGGGAGACGCAAGCGTGGTAGCGTCACAGGCGGCTGTGCACAGCTCAGCCACGCGCGTTGCGACTTGGTGGCGGTTCCAGCCGTGCGGGCAGCCGGAAGTTGCATGTAGAGAGGACCCCGGCGCCCCCATGAGAGCCGCGAGCTGACCAACCTCGCTGCAACGCCCCAAAACGCCCGGCCGCCCCCAGACGACCCGTGCAACCTCAAGGCGCTGTACCGCCGCGGCCAGGCGTACCTCGAGCTCGGCCGGCTGCCCGATGCCGTGTCCGATTTGGAGGGCGCGCTGCGCCTCGCGGGCAGCGACCCCGCGCAGCAGCAGCCGATCAGGGAGAAGCTCGAGGTAGCCAGGAAGAAGCTGGCCGCGCAGCCTCCGCGCGGCGAGGGCGCGGGTGCGGGCAAGGGCGCTCCGGCGGTGGCGGCGGGGCCGGCGGGGGCGGATGACGAGGACGGCAAGGTGGAAGAGGAAGAGGTGGAGGAGATCTTCACGCCGGCCGCGGCGCGCGACGAGGCGCGGCGGCGCGAGCAGCGCGAGCAGGAGCGGCAGCGGGAGCAGGAGCAGGAGCGGGAGCGGGAGCGGGAGCGGGAGCGGGAGCGGCAGCGGGAGCGCGAGCGGCGCGAGGCGGCGGCCGCGCCGGCGGCGGCGGCCGCGAACGGGCTGAGTGGAGACATGCAGCAAATGGCCGCGAAGGTGGGCGCAAATGTTGGCTCGCCGGCTCGCAGCTGGCGGGTGCAGCGGCAGTGGGTGTGATCGAGATCGCCCCGATAACGGAGCAGTCCTATTGGGTGGGGCCTTGCCGGATGCAATTTACTGGCCCCCAGCGAACACTTACTCACGCCCTCAACGCCCCATTTGCACCGAGGTGGTCCCCTCGAGCCCTGGCGTGCCCTCATAGTCCCCGCCCCCGTATAACTGCCCGCACCCGCACCTGCGCGCTTGGTCGGCGCTCCATGCCCATTGATGGCGCCTTGGACGCTATGGCCCCCGCCACATTGGCATTTCCCGGACCACCTTCTCGCCACCGTCACCCACTTCTATTGTGACCACTGACGGTTGACCACCGCTGCCGCTGCTGACGTCGCCACCTCTGCCACCACACTCAACAACCATCAACCACCACCAGCCCACACAATCAACTCAACTGCCACCCAACCCCCGCAACCAACAACTGCCACTACCGCCACCAGCAAGCACAGCTACGCACGTCCACCAGCCACCAACTACACCCGCTAACCGCCACAACCGCCGTCCCCACCTGCCCCAGATGATGGCCGACAACCCAGAGATGCTCAAGATGGCGGCGGAGATGATGGCAAACATGCCGGCCGACCAGGTTGCCTCCATGGCGGCCGCCGCGGCGCCCGGCATGACCCCGGAGATGGCGCGCGCCGCGGCGGAGCAGATGCGCCGCATGTCGCCGGCCGAGCTCAAGAACGCGGCGAGCGTGGCCGCGGCCGCCGCGGGCGGCGCCGGCGGCGCGGCGGCAGCGGCGGCGTTCCCTGCGGCGGCGGCAGCGTCCGGCGGCAGCGGCAGCGGTACCAGGTCGCCTGCGATGGGTGTGGATCCTTTGCCTATTGACCCTTCAAAGCTTGACCCCAAGATGATGGGGATGGCCGCAGACATGATTGAGAAGATGAGCCCTGAGGAGCTAAAGGCAATGATGGCGGCGGCGGGGGCTGCAGGGGGGGTGGCCG